TGAATTGAATTGATTTTGGTTAATGAAATGAATGACCCCATCATGAAATTATAAACAAATATTTAGAAGTTTTTACTTTGAAATCCAGATTTAATCAGAACTGGTTTATCCTAACTGAACTGAATTGTTTGTATTTGCCGGTTATGATTTTAGCAAAGGCTGTGAATGTCATAGAATGAGGTAGGACCAGTGACATTGACGTTGAATATCAAGATAACCAATCAAAGGCCAGTTCTTTGGCCAGCATTCTAATGAAGAAGTTTTACATTTTGTACTATCAGAAGACTAGGCCCTGACTTAGATCTAATGGAGATGTCCTGGCTGGATGTGAAGTTTCTCTGTTCATGTCAGACAGCCCTCACTGAGTTGGCTGGATGCCAGAGACTGATCAGAGACTGCATGTCCTCACCATTACAGGAGGTTCCACAGGTTCCCCACTTAGGAGGGTTCCCCTTATAGTGCCAGTGCCTGGCAATGGTCTGACCTGCCATCCACGGAGGTCCCCACCTTGTGCCCTAAAGTTCTAGGTCGGCTCAGCAAAAGCCGGAAGTTGGAAGTGAGTTATTCTTTAAACATTTTAAACTGCTATGAACAGAGGTTTTCACAGCATAGTGAAAGGGTCTCATCCATAGTGAAAATGGAGCGTTTTAATACCTAACTGCACCTCAGCGCATGGTTAAGCTGTTATTGAAAACACTCGACAAATGCAGACATAATGTAAAACATATCAGCTTTCTACACCTTGGGTGAGATTTTTTATATACACAGTATGTCATATTGGTGCTTTAGAATCTCTTTAATATAAAAATGCAATAATATACAACAAAGTTTTTACAGAGGCAATGTCTGTTCAAGGGAAATGCATGCAGTTATTTGGCCTGCAATGAATGACTGGACAGGTCTGTATAAGCAGTGGTTGCCAACAGAGGCAATTCCTATCGAGATGTTTGCTGCAGCAGATGTTACAACTCAAAATCAATTTTTCTAATTTAGCTGTTAAAATACTTTGTTTTTTTTCCTTTTTAATAATCTACTATTAAATCAAAGCACATAGAATGCAACGTAATAAATATATTACTATAAACATAAAACATGTTTGAAAACATTTACATTCATATGTATGCTTTTATCCAAAAACCCAAAATCTATATTTCTATTAATCTTTTTTGATAAACAAAACATAATGTAGTTAGATTTTATTTGTTGTACATACACACCAGGCACTTCAGATAAATACAGTATATTCCAGAGAAACAATATTTCAAAACATGCAATACAATATTTTGGTCTTTTACCATTTCTCCATTAAAACATGAAACTTCCCCAGAAACTTTCATTTATATATATATGTTATTGACTCCATTATATAAACATAGATTTTCTGCTGCTGACAGTGAATCTCTGTGTGCCAGGCAAAGTTATCATTAATATGTGCATTGAAACATAAGCGAAGCTGCTGCTCTTGGGTAATTATGGTGATTATGGTGACACATTTAATTCCACATATGATATAGCTGTGCTGGTGAGAAAAATATTAAACAATCCTAGGTAGTCGCTGCTATAAAATCATACGTATAATTTCTATTCCTATAGTATGATCTTATTTAATAACAAAACAAATGTAGTTTTTTATTATTGAGATGTGGTTTTGAATTGCCCTTCATTACAGTCAATGTTCTGCAACATTCTGCAAGACCTTTATGTTTCATTTTCAAGTGGTTAACCCTTTTATTAGGGTTTCTGGTATTATTATGCTGTATAATTATATTGAGTGAACTGGATATTGCATGTCCTTTTCTTTGCATGGATAGCCAGCGGATTGATAAACAGAAGATCCACTGTAGCGACCCCTAACGGGAGCAGGCGAAAGAAGAAGAAAATGTGAGTAGGCTTCTTTATTACACTAATATGACATAAATTCAAAGCGTATGAACATATACTGACATTGACTACTGGAGGGTGCATTGTGTTTCTGTGATTTCATCATCATATCCAAGACAACGTTGCAAATTTCCCTGACTTTTTGGATCAGGTGTATTTATGGTAAGATTCACCGTCTTGAATTTACTGCTTCAATATAGAGCATGGTCAACAATGAAGGAAAACATATTATACAATCCACATGCCCATGGAACTGGTTCACTTTCAGTAGGCCCACTGGTTTGCAGCTTTACAAGGAGACCTCTTGTTTGACTCCTGGTCCGTTGAGGGTGGATGTGGTGTTTTTCTTGATGGAGGTCATCCGTATAGCCGAGGTGCTCTGCAGGTAGCTGGTGCTGCGCTCGTGCCGGGGCCTTCTCCGGCAGCATAGGTGGCTGTTGAAGTGCCTGCGGAAGCTCTCGCTCAACAGGTAGAGGGCGAACGGGTTGACGCAGGAGCCAGAGAAGCTGAGCACGCGGGCCAGCAGGGTGATGATCAGATGGGGCAGCGATGAGTCGATCTGGTTGTAGTTGAAGGAGCGGTAGAGGTATAGCACATGGTTGGGGAACCAGCAGAGGGCGAAGAGGCCCACGAAAACCAACACGATTTTGGCCAGTCGCTTCCTGGTCTCCATCTTAAAAAAAGAAAGAAAATTCTCTCACAGCACTAGTTCTCATCTTTCTTAAAGCTTGCGAAGAAAGTTCAGATCAGTAATTAGCATTTTTGATAAGTACAAATTTACAGAAAATTATATGACAATGCTCAGAGTAGCAGAGTCCTCTGCTCCGACCAAGTAACATATCTCATGGGTTCAGAAATAGTGATTAAAGACTGATAAACTTCCTATATTGAAACTGTGTTGCGCTGCAGATAGACAGTAGAATGTGGAAATCAGGGAGTTTCACTTATACAAGAAACACAGAATATGGAATTAGAGGTAAGGTTATATTCAGGGCCGCTTTTAACACAGGCGCAATTGGTGCAATGCACCGCGGACCCCTGCAGCGACGGGCCCCTGCAGCGACGGGCCCCTGCAGCGACGGGCCCCTGCACCGCGGACCCCTGCAGCGACGGGCCCCTGCAGCGACGGGCCCCTGTTTGGGCACAGCAATTTTTATTGGTAATTTTTCACTGGAGAAATCACAATGCCAGCTACTGTTTTAATTTACGTTCAGTATCGCTTATTTTTACTTACTCCGCCACTGCTTACGTGCAACCCCAGTGCTCACAACGCCACCCACAGGGCGAGCATGTGGGTGTAACCAGAGTGATGCTCATTGAACGTCAAATACGGATCGAAAATCGCCCGAATTGACCCAGATGATATCCAGCGGCCACTTCGCAGTTATTGTCAACAACGTTTTACGTATACTTGCTTTTTTAAACTTAACCAATATTGCGTTGTGATGAGTGAACCGTATAAACACAAATCAGGATGCCAGAAAAGAACAGCAAGTGTATTATCTCAGCGCATTAAATCCGCCAAACAGTGCAAGAGAATAGAAACTTTCTTTGCGAATACCGACGCTACACTTTCAAAATCGGATATGCAGTTACAGACAAATGACCAAGCATTAAAACTAGTCTTTAAGACTAACCATTAATTTGATTCTAAATTCTTACCTAAATAATAAAGAGTATATAGTTTATCCAATGATATTCTATATTTAGTTTTATATATTACAATTTTATTGTATTACAATTTATTTTATTAATTACAATTTCTGCTAATTTCGCCATTTCAATAAGGTGAACGCAAACACAACCGCTTTCGCTGAAAGCAAGACGACAACTCAATGAGCATGAATGAACATGGCCGAAAATATTTTAGGTTCACGAATCACGATCACATTAAATTAAAGCCATCATTCGCTGTCATTGTCAGTGGGAGGGGGTAGGGGGGGGGATCGCAATTCAGGCCTAATGTGATTTGGACCGGAGAGTTGATACTTGTTTAGCTAAAGATTCGGACAGTGCACAATGGTCAGCCGGGCCTCTATGACAGATTCTTGCACCTACATCTACAGAACAGAACCTACAGTCCCTCCCTG